TTGGTTTGAAGACCTTAACATGAGCAACTTTGAATAGTCTACCAAATTTTTTGTTGCGTTCGTACAATATTTCTGGTAACATGTCAGTTTAGCTTTTGAAATCTTCCATTTGTAGACTGCACAACTTTTCCTGAATATCATTCCTATTATATCATTCCCAGTGCTCTCTTTCATTTTAATCACGGCAACCATGAAAATGGCGCCTAAGGGCTCGAACTCGACTCCGTTCAGCCACTAACATGGAGTTTTATTTGGACTTTTAAGTACTTTATCACAGACCATCTACAATGTGTCTATTATCGTATTCTATGCCGTATCGAGCTCTTCTTCATCACTCGCACTTTCAAAGGTTGCTACTAAATGAGAACGATGAAGTGCTAAAGAGCTGCCAAATTTTTGAAATTTATATATTTCGTTTTCCATCTATTTTTAACTGCCTATTGGTGTTCTAAGTCAATGTTGAATCTAATAAAACGATGGTCACTTAATGATGAGCAATCATTCCAGACATCCAATTGTTTGTTCTTGGGTAAATTGGAGTAGTTGCTAGTGTAAATCTGGCCAGCCCTCTGCCCGTGTGGTCCAGAAAGTTGGAAGACTGTCAGCTGAATTAATTATCGTCAGGCCATGGGATGTTATAAAGTCCAGAACTGGCACTGCTCTTCTGTTTCCTTCCGGTGTGCCCCAAATAGGGCTTGCGGCATTAAAGTCTCCTGCAACAATTTTGCTACAAACCAGAAGTGCAACTACATATTCTAGGTCAGTCAGTGCTAATGTGATATCATGTGACGGCGGAATATAGACACTTGTGAAAGCAATCTTCCCATTAGGGCTCTCAAGCTGAATGGTGTTTCAGTATTCACCCTTTTGCGTTAGTAATGGTGTTAAGCAGACCGTTGTACACTATTGCTGCTAGATTACTGGTTCACTGAAATACTTTGAAAGAACTCGTGCCTACAATTTTTCCATTTGCAATGTAATATTCTTGCAGTAGAGCCATTGGAAAGTTATTTTCCATTATAATTTGTGCTGCATTTTTTGTTGCAGCCTGGCATCTCTGGAGATTCCTTTATAAGATGGAGAAACCAGGGTTCGTACGATCCTCAAGACTCCTTAAAAGTCCTTAAATTTTTTGGAATCGATTTTTGGTCCTTAAAAGTCCTTAATTTTGGACAAATTCATCAGGAGGTCCTTAAGTTTAATCATCTGAAATTTCTGTCTGTTTTTATAACTGCCATTTTGAGTGTGAATTAGCATTTTGGAGGAATATTTTTGGCGATTCACTGACACATATGGTTATCTTTTGAATGAGTTCTAATTTGTTTCTATTTCTAATATAAATGATGGGATACTCAAGTTTCTAAACAAGAAGTGAAACATAAGCACTTCAAAATTCATTTTTTCTAATAAAGAAATCAAAAAACTTTTCGCTTTTGAGGATGTGAATTCTTTTATTAAAGGGTTCTAAATTTGGCGACATGTCAACATTTTGGGAATTTTAAGATCAGTTTCTATAGAAAATTTTTAATTCAGAGATCTGAGAATTTTTTCGACGATTTTTTTTAAAACATCACCACATTGATAAATTTCATTAAAATAATGGTAATATATTGAAATTTAAAAAATAACATTAAAATAAAACATCTCTATTTTTCGCTGTCATATTATAAAATTTCATTTTGGACACTTATTATACAATATTATAAATCTGAAAAATAAGGCATAATGCTATAAAGCGTAATTTACAAAACAGCTCTTAACAAGAGCAAAATTAGCTATGTAATTAATTAAAAATTGTCTGAATGTGCATGAGCTAAAACCAATTAAAACACGGGGAGGTCTTTTACAAGGTCAAAACTGCTGGTGTGAATATCTACAATCCAATTGTTAGGACCTGGGGACTTGGGTACGGATGTCCTTAGTGTTATGTGGGACTGTGTAACTGATGGCGCCAGATTCACAAAAGCCTCACTTATATCGTCAGCTGTGGCCAAGGCTGGCACACCGTAAACTATCACTGAAGTTTTTCGAATGCTGGGAACTCTCACAGAAACTGTTGAAGAAAGCGCAGGTGTTTTTTCTATTGATTTACGAAGCACGTATATGTGCTCCCGAGCAGTGCATTACACCAGCAATTCCTTAGCCCGGTAGGGGGAACTTCTTCAACCACTATGCCTATGGCTCTTGCGCTTATCTTGGAAGTAAGCTGGATCCTAACCTGCTCAGGGGTTCGATCTGTATTGTTGGGCTTAATTAGCAATATGTGTTCGAATTGGTTTTTTTCAAGCGGCTTTGTATGGCGTTTTTTCTTTCGAACTTCAGTGAAAAGAAGCTCATTTGTATCTGTCTGATACTGTGTATCTCCTGTAATAGAAGGAAGTTCCGTAACAGGTGTAGTAGGAGCAATGGTATTCAAAGTATCGCGCTGCTGTTGTAATGCCTGGATTTGCCCCTGTAGCTGAGCGTAAAATATCTCTTGTTCAGCTATTGTGTTGTGGACTGTATTTACAAAGCTGGCTATTTCCTTCCTGACGGATGCATTAAGTTTTTAAGAATCTTTGGAATGTCTAATGAATAACTATAATTGCTCACAAATAAATTTAAACAAATTTAAATTTAAATTTTAACAAACACGTATAAAAGTAAAAGCAAATTTAAAGCCAAAATTAAAAAAAAAAAAGAGAAGAAAGCCAAAATTTTTTTAAAAAATTTTAAAGATGTGCAAACTATAAAAGATTTAATTCTCGAACTAATCTACAGTATCATTTAAATTCAGAAGCATAAGCAAATCAAGTGCAGAACCAATCCATGAAAATAAATTCACTAATTTAGCAAATTAAAATTAATCCAAACAAGATTGATAGCCTCTATTCTGGAAGTGGGAGTAGAAGAATTTGTCATGCTCCTGTCTACCAAAGGGAAGTCTTATTTGTATGGAGCTAATTGAGTCCGCTGAAGTGGTTGGCGTATCTGAATGCATATTTAAATCACAATAATGCACATAGAGTAATTATAAGTGCAGTAGAAAGCACTGAAATTACAGTTTTATGTGGGAACACAAAGTAAGTGAAAGTGCAGTACAGTCAAAAGTCTTTAATCCGGACTCGTCGGGCAATTCCAGTTATTCATTAGACATTTAGACATATATTCATTATGAATTAGTTATTCATTAGACATTCCAAAGATTCTTAAAAACTTAATGCATCCGTCAGGAAGGAAATCGATTTTTCCGTATTATAGATCATCAGTTTAAATCTGGTAAGGTGGCATGCAGAAATTATAAAATTAAAAATATGAAACCGTAATTTATGAAATAAAGAGCAACTGTGATCTAAAGGGTATCAAAATTCACAAAAAAAAAAGCTTAATATTTATTTATTTACTTTATTAAACATTTCTTTCAACGCACGCATGCATAAAGCATACATTATGCATAGTCGAAATTAGAAAATTGCAACCAGAAAACTATTTGATATGTATTCGTAATATTTATAATGACGAGGAATTTGATTTAAGTCATATCAAAGACAGAGTACATCGAGATGAAATACTGCATTTAGTAAGGAATTATAAGCCGAATAAAATAAAAACATCTGCCCTGAAGATGAGGATAGTGCTGACAGATCAACTTCCAGCTCATTATGCGCCGTGAAGTCCCCCCCCCCCCCCAACAGAGCAGTGTGAAATTGATAAACAAATTTCGGAATGGTTAGAGAAACAAAGGATATGCCTTTATCCATTTTTTGCAGCAATTCCACTTTTTGTTTGATGGACATCAAAACATGCTTTCGCTTTGTAGATCCTTTGGCAGCTCCAGAATCAGAAACTTTTTTTGACATAATCGAAAGTTCAAGCTTACTTTTTAAAAAATTGCTCTAACAGTCCTCAAAAAATAATAAGCCAGATCCAATTAGAAGATTAAGGAACAACACTATCTGCAACATTAACTGAAATAGATAATTATATAATTTTAGCCTAGCTTATACCGTCCGTTATACATTAAATGCGCATGCGTAAACGTATCACGCACATGCGTACAGGTATTATGCACGTGTGTATAGGTATTATGCGCATGCACATAAAGTTTGTAGCTTTGAGGTCCGGATTATAGATCATTCTGGATTATGGACGTCCGTATTAAAGATTTGGTGCTGTATGTGTTTAAATCAGAGATGTAGGTAATCAGAAGGCACCCAAAAACATAACAGTTTGGCACAAACTTGAAATTGTGCACAGGCATCATGATTGCTCAAGAACAGTTGAAATTTCAATGTGCATCCCAAAAAAGCATTTCAATGTCGTGAAAATAAGAGGAATTTAATTTTTCCTATTTAAAAATAACCCTTTTTAAAATAGTAAGTAGCAATCAAAAACAGAGAATATGTGACCGAGAGAGAAATATGTTGTAATCCCATTATTTCAAGTTATCAGAATAATATTATCTAATAATAAAAGTAAAACTGCCAGAATAAAATCGATAAACAACAAAATTGACAAATTGGTGTGACAAACTTTACTTTAGCTGAATTTTCTATTTGACCCAAGGTCAAGTCCTAATGAACAGGAATGGCTGCAAGGGAGTTCTTGTAATTTTCTCATGTGTAATGTAAATATAAGCCAGTATCCATTCAAATATGATTCATAGAGGCATCTCTTCCATTGAGCAGCCCTTGCATGATTTGCTGAAGTAACTGAATGTAATCATCTTCAAAACCATTGTTGTATACAAATGGAGTAAAACATTTTGAGTATAATTAAATATCTTGCTGATACTATTTTAAAAATTAATAATAGATTTTTTATCCTGGAATTTTATTATCTTATGTTTAATAATATAAAATTTATTCTGGGTTGATAATATTTAATCAGATATTTCCAGTGGAAGTAAAACTGTATATTTTTTTGTGGCTATTATCTTTCTTTTTTTTTCTTTTGTTATAAGAACTAGTAAATTATTCTGTGTTATTTATTAAGTAATGTATTAATTATTTTTTCTTCAGGTAAAATATATGCCTTTGATATCAAAGCATGTTGTACAGACTTCGAAAGTTATGGCCCTAGTAAATAAGAAAATGTCATCCTTAAAAATTCCATTGGACTACATTGTCCATCAAAGTGAATCGCCATCATTAGAGGTTCATTTTATTTATTTTTTTACTTTGACATATTTATTCATGTATTTACTTTAATAGTGATGCAAAATACATTGCATTTTTATCAGTTTAAGATTATTTTAATTTATTTATTTCAAAATATTTACATTTCTATATTATAAAATCCCATCATATGTTACTATTGTTTTCTTTACGAATATGCAATTGATTCAAGAGATTTCTGAACTGCTGCTTAACATTATCTTTTTATGGGTGATAAGGTCATCAAAGTGTGGCTGCCATATGCATAATCAAATTTTTAAAGAGAATGATTTCAATGATTAAAAAACTTCGTTGATCTTTAACCCTCTGACGGGCAAGGCCGTATATATCCAGCGTAGAAAAAATTATTTTGTGGTGTCTGTAAGAAAGTATATATATGAGCATCTTAAAATCTGTCCAAGAAATGAAAGCAATATACTAAAAGTTTAAAAGTTTTAAAAGGTTATGTTAACTTATATAAACAGTATGGAATTAAATCTGTCTGAAAAGTTATATGTATTTAAGATAACTTTAATCAGTTTTAAAATAAAAGCATACATGAATTTACCTTGCTTATTTTAAAAAGCTACTATTATGTTTACAAATCTTATTTTAAAATCGTGTTTTGATCTAAGTAAGCAGTAGTTTAGTTTTGGTGCTCTATGGCTGCCTTTTTTACTTGGCGTATATATCTCAAACCGAAACGTTAACGTGGCAAATAAGTTTTTTTATAATTTTTTGCTTTCATCACCACATAACTATCAAGTGATAACAACTTGAGAAATGACTCATGCAACAATGTCTAAAACTTTTTAATTTGTAACTAAACATACAAATAGTATGGTGACATTTTATGTTACATTATGCTTGGTGATGATTACAGACTTCAATCAACTGTGCTGCGAAATGTTGAGTGTATGAGAAAAACATTTAAAAGACATTTCTTTCCATATGCAAAACATAGATTTTGTAAATGTTATTTATAGGCCAGAATTATTACATCTAATGCTGTTTGAATTAATAAGTGATTTGTTCTTCAGATAAGCTTTAACTGAGAATTTATTCAGGATTCAGAAGCCTTAAGCATAATGTGGGAAATAGATGTTTGTATAATAAAATAACTAAACTTATATAAGTCAGACTTAAATGCCTCTGTGCATGATAGAAGCAAGATGAAATTTAGTGGAACAACATGCTTTTAGTGACCAGTCTCATTATAAGTTGTCAGTAATGTGTAGCAGATACTAGATAAGCTACATACTGTGAATTTGAAGGATTTGGGATGTTCCAAACAAAAAGCGAAATTTTCCAGTCGAGAGAATTTGTGAAAAAATGTGAAGAAGTGATTATAAGTATAGAAGTTTTCCATTGCAATCACAATGCTCCAATAATCAATCGACTAATGAATGGTAAAATCTGTAGTACAGTTCTAAATCTAGAAAATATTGCTACTGATAGTGAAGACAGTGACAGGCGTAAGAATGAAAAAAAAAAATTCATTTGACAATTATATTAAGAATTCTTGACACTGCAACTACATTTATTAGCACATTGAACAATGGCACTTTGTAACTGAATAAGAAATTATGTCATTCTATAAAATTAAAGAGGATGTATTATCACAAAAAAAGAAGCAACTTAAAAAACTGAAAGAATCATTTAAATTAAGCTTTTAATGGAAAAGATTAAGACATTTAAACAGTGAATTAGAGGGTGAGTATCAAAGAATATGTAACAGAAAAATTTGTATCTTCAAAAGGTCATTAAAAAAATTAATAACACTTATCTTTTATGAGCCTAGATAACAGTGGTCTTGTAATATGCTTAGAACATTAGTGAGCTACCAAGCTGTGATGTAATATATTTGTACCTAATGTTTTTTTTTTTTTTAATCTGAAAGATGATTTTGTGGCTAATGTTTTGTGATTTAACTTTCAAATCTATTAACTGGTCTTGGTACTTTTGCATTATCCACCCAACCCTTCCACAAAGTTGCCAGTCGTTGAGGACTAATTGTTGGCAACCTAATATCTTATAAAAAACAGTAGCCATTTTTAAAAAAGGGCAGCATACAAAATTACATAAAATAACAATGAATTAACAAAATTAAAAATGCAAGAAATGTCCACAGTTAAATGTTAAAAATTTCATAAAACAAACGTCCATGATAAAACATTCAGAATTTCATAAAACAGCACAAAATTAATGAAATAAAAAATGCAACAAATAATAATAAATCCATAATAAAACATGTTCATTTTTCTGAGCCTTCTGTCCATGTATGCAGCTATCTGGTTTGGTTTATTTTATTTATTTTTTTGTAAATCTGAGAATTACAGAATCTCAGCTTTACAAAGCAAATTGGAACTGCTGTCCATGTATACTTCACCCTGTTTTAACTTTAAAAAAAAAAAAAAAAAAAGAAAAGAAAATGAGAATTTTACAAATTTTTATGGAATGGGCATTCATCCACTCTCCATGAGTAGGCAAAATGCCATGTTTCTGAAAAAATACAACAATTTCTTCTCCATTAACAGGCAAATTCCACAGTGGTAGTACAGTTCATTACAAAAAATAAAAGGTACTTTAATATTATTGCAACCACCTTGATAGAAGTTGTCAAACTGTGGCAACCATATGCATAACAATTTTTCAGGTAACCATATCAGTAACTAAGTTTGAATAAGCAACATCACCATTTTTTTACACATTGTTTTAGTTGTATTAGAAACTCTTAAAAATTAAATTGTGATATTTTTTATCTTCAGCTGAATTTTGAAATATGCACTTCAGAGATTTGCTTGCAAGCGAAGAAGGTTCTGTGAAATTTTTGTAGAAATGTAATATTTTGCCACAAAGACAGGGATGTCCAGATTTGCATTTGATGGTGTTGAATTTTGAAACCAACTTTTTTGGAAATACTGTGGGAAAAGTGTAATGAACACATTGGAACTCGAAGTTACAACAAATAAAAATCCCAAACATGACCCTCAACTTTCAAAATTGCATGAATTACGACTACTGCCACCAAGATAGATGGTGGCATGATATGCTGGTGTAATACTTTTATCACCATTAGTGAGTTCCCAGATAAATACATTTTTGTAAAATTCTGATTTGCCTACATAAAGCTGTTCCTTGTTATACTTGTCCGTGTTGGGTGGATAATGCTGATCTTTATTACACATTTCATTTTTTAATTTAATATGCAACATCTCTGTTTACTTTAAAGCGTTTCTGTGATAGATTAAATTATATGATTTAATATGAACAGAAATATAAATGTATGATTTTAACAGGTATTATCAAACTCACATTTTAAAGATACAAATAATCAAGTGCAATTTAATAACAAGTATAATTAATGTATTGCTGTTGATTGCAGCATTTTTATGTCACTGAATTTATAAATCTTCATTTGGTTTTTCATTATTTAATTGAATTTTAAGTATATGAAAATTAATTTAAATTTATTATACTTTAGAAAAAACTATACGAGTTCTGCAGAGAGTACATCAGTTTACCTGTAAATGAAAAGATGACGGTTTTAAAAGAATTAGCAGTGAAGTATGATTTTGATAAGGAGACTGTAAAAAAAGCAGCTGAGTCATATATTTTTCTTAAGGTGGGTTGTTATTGTTATTTTTGGTACTTTCTGATTATTTCTAATTATTTGCAATCCCATGAAAAGTTGCTAACTCATAGTTCATGAATCTCTTTTGTTCATAAATAATGATAATAAAAAGAATTTTTTAAGAAACAAATTTTGTGAGGGAAAAAAGGCCGGTTTTCCATTTTTATAGCCAGTGGTACTTTTCAGCTATGATGTTTATAGATGTTTTTCACAGTATTAGTATTTCATCATTCATTTAGAAATACACTTTTATCTATCAGTTCCATAAATAAGTATCACTGTCTTGATGAACTATGTGCATTGAATAAACATAACATTTGATTTCTAGATTTAAGTAGGTAAAGAAATAATTATTCTTACTATAAAATGGCTAAATGACATTTTGGTAAATTTTTAATATCAGTTATGAAAAGACTACATCTTTACTATTAGTAGTTTACTGTTGAAACCATGGATGTGGGTTATCAGGAAGTACCTTACTTTCTATAATTTTCTATTATTTATATTTACTAAGAGAGGGGTTATATAAACCTGCCATGTATTGAAATATCATTTGCACTTAATTGTCTTTATATTAATTGCTATTCATTTTATATCATATCACAAAACTCGGTAGCATAACTCTTATTTCTTCTTTTAATGTATAATTAATTAATCACCTAATACGCCTAAAGCTATGTATTGATAACTAAATCTTTACATGTTATGCAACTTAAGTTTTATAACCCTGGTTTCTGTAGTGCAGTTGACAACTTGTATTATACATTTGTCTTTCACAAGATAATAATCTGAGGTTTCAATTTGATAGATTTTCTGGAAAAGTGTAAAAATATTAGTAAACATTCACATATACATTATAAATTGGGTCTTTGGGTTAACTGGTTGAGTTCATTTGTTCTCTTTCCAAATACCCCGTAGTAGAGGAAAAGTTTAGCCATAATGTTTATAATATTTATGCAGCGGTTATATAACAGCAGATTCTCTATTCATGCTTAGCCTGACCTTCTTTATGAATTTTAATTCCACTGCTGTTTCAAAACCCTAAGAATTTCTTAATTTCACATATTTAAAATCTAAAATTAAAAAAAAAATTGTGAATAAATGGAAAGCTGAAGCATATTCTTTACGACTTAGCAATACTTGCGGATATCATTAGTATGCAAATAAAAGTTTTGTTTTCTTTAAATTACATCATTACATGCAAGTTAAAACATTTTGTAAAACTTTATTTTAAATATGTGTAAGAAAAAGAGCTAATTTTGAGTGAAAAGCTATGATATAAGGCACAAAATAATGGTTTGTATCATGATTTAGTGTCCTAGTGTGTTCTTATTCATTTGATAATTTGGACCCCATATGCTTTCCTTGTTCGTCGTCATATATAATGAAATTCCTGATTAAAGTTACTTTTAATTTATCTACTTTTAAATTTTAGTTTCTTTGAGGTTGTCATCAGCTATTAGTGTCAACCAAATTATTTGAGAAACTATCTTTTCATCTCTGGATTTGCTGCATAGACGATCCAGTTCACTTTTGAAACTGAATCTGACTATTCCCTTCCTGTCCTTGATAGTCTTATAATTCACAATGATTTTAGCAGTATTGTTTATTGTAAACCCTTTTCTGTTTGTTTTCCACCTCATGCTGTCACCTAGCTAAGCAAAAAAATGGCTTTGTTTTACTATTATGTATTTTGTGCTGTCAAGATGTATGTTCCTCAGAACCTGTGCTTGCTAATGAACTTAATTATTTGAGATCAGTTCCCATTGACTAAGGAGTTTCTCTCATGGTCATTGATAAAACCTGTAAAAAATTTCAACTTACCATCAAAGAAGACATTCCTTTATGAGAAATAACATTAATAACCTTGTCGTACTTCCATTTCATCCTTCTATCAGTTACAAAATTGCGCAGATTCTTCAGAAGTTCAATTTTGAAATTATTTTCTCACTTATCAATAAAACCCATGGTTCGACTCTTAAAGATTCTATTTCTAACTTTAATTCTTGGGAAATTTATAGCATATCATGTCAGTGTGGTTTGAGATACATCAGCCAAACTAAAAGAGCAGTAAAATTTCATATCAAGGAACATGAATATGATGTCCAAAGAGGCAAAATTAGCAAGTTCTCAACAGCTAATTGTTGTTGGAAATTTGTTCATAATTTTTACTTTGGGTCTGCAAAAATTATTTAAAAATCTTAATTAATGATTAAATTGATTAATTGTAATTTCTTGAAGCTTTTCACATTCATAAAAATTTATCATGTTTAGTTAATGATTTTAAGTCCATTTCTGTTCTTCGTAATGATTTTAAAATTCTGTCAACTTAATTTTTCAATTTCATTACTATTTTAACTGTTACCTTCTGGTTTGCTTTACTGTGGAGTATAAATACAACCATTGCATCCACTGCTTTCCAGTCTTGCGGATTCTTTTGCTCCTAGTGAAGAGAGACCTGTACCTGTTTGCCATCGAACTGAAGGTTGTTGTGTTTCTAATTTTATGAATCATTATTTGTGTTACTAATTTTACAATTCATTATTTATTACTTTTTGCTTTCATGACTATGTAAATATCACAGAAGTCAGCTAATTCTGCTGCAAAGTGTTGAGTGTATTGATGAGGAGGAATTTAACAGAAATTACTTCTCATGTTCAAAAAATTGATTTTATAATTGATACTCATAGGTTGCAATATTAACATTCATTGATGTTTGAATTGAGAATAACTGATTTGTTATTCAGTTAAGCTGAGGACCAATTCCAGAGCTTATGCGGCCGCACTGAATGGCAGAATTTCAGGAAGGTAAACTTTTTAGAACTTAGAGAAACACTGAGCAATAAAATAATGGAATAGCAAAATCTTAGAATTTAGGGAACTCACAAGATGCAAAATTTGCTAGCTTTCAGAGGGACTCTTGGTAGCAGAATTTTGGATCCCCACAAAATGCACTGGGCTGCAAAATATTTTAACACTAGCTCTGAATATGCATTAGTTTATGTGGGAATTTATTTATTTGGGACTGAGATAAGCCATAAGTATGTGTAGGAAGTAGTCATAAGTATAATAAATATCTAAACTAATGTAGTTCAGGCGTGATAGAATCAATGTGTGATACACTTTATCAATGTGTGATAGAAGCAAGACAAAATTTAGCAGAACAGTATGTCTTTAGTTGCCAATCTCATGATACATCACCAACTGTATATAGCAGATACCAGCTGAGCTTTTTGATGACAGCCACAAATTTAAAGGTTTTCAGGTATGACAAATAAAAAGCAAAATTTAAATAAAGATGCTATAACAGAAAATTTTTATTACAGAGCCCCAATCATCAATCAACTAACAAACAGTAAAATCTGTAGTATGAATCTTTTTAAATCCAGAAAATATTGCTACCAGTAGTGTAAAAAAAAGCAAACAACTGAATATTGAACATTTTTCGTAGATTTTTTGATTCCCTTAAGTTCATAAATCACTATTTCATATTTTTAACTTTATAGTGTCTATACTAGATTCAAACTGATAATCTAATGTCCAGAAAAATTCGGAATTCTGGCAGTTTTGTTGAATCCAGATCTTGGACTTCATATTATTATTTAAAAGGAAAAAAAAGGAAAATTCATTGACAGAATTTCCATATATTTGCTGCTTTTATTCACCTACATTTAATTAATATTTAAATTTATGAACTAAAATCAGGCAGTCTTTAGAGTTGAATTTCAAAAGCTATGAATTTATAGATGCCCAAAAAAATTGTCTTTATGGCTTATTTTTTTATTATTGTAATAATTTTCTTCTTCCACTAGTGCCCTTGGTGTTTTTAGCTTGCTCTGAGTATTAACATTTTTAATTTGGCATCTTGCATATAGATACTTAATGTAGTGTACAAATGGATTTTTTTGGGTCAAATTACTTTATGTTTTAAACCTAGTTCATGTATGTACTTGTTTTCTTAGCAATTGATTATTAATTAACTTTTTATTGGTGATAACATGAGAGTTCAGGATATTTTCAAATAGATATGATACACTTTTTATAGGACAAAAGTACTGGATTACAATTAAAAGCTGCTGAGCGCTTAAAAACAACTTTGAACCCTACTTACGGTCACTTCTTCAGCCGTATTAGAAAATTAGATGGTGGAGTGAAGTTTCTAGTAGATTTAAGAGCAGATATTTTAGTAAGCATTTATTACATTTTAGTATTTAGTTAAATATTGTTTTCTTATATAATCTAATAGAAAAATTCATATATAAGGTATAGTGTATATACAGATAAAAAATGGATTCATGTATGTCACTTTCTTTAAAGTTAATGATCATGACTAAAATCATGAATTTTAAGTGTGCTTTTTCCAAGTTATACTTTTTAAAAAGATTTACATATTTTTTAAGCTATCCCAAGTTGTAAAGTTTTTTTAATACATTCTTTTGATAATTTGTATTAAAAGTTAGTATGTAATGAATAAAATATTTTTTTCCTATTTATTGTTTGTTTATCTTTTAATACAGAATTATCTGAATCTTTGAAGTAGTGAATTTGCACCTAAATGTAATTCAAAATTTCATATATGACAATTGTTTTATTACCCTTTTCTCAAATGAATGTTTTCGTATTCCATTGCTTATTAATAACTTCCCTTATTATTATTTTATTTAAATTAAAATTTGTTTGCATTCTGTATGTCCCTCAAAGCTATCAAAATTTTTCAAGTTTGATTAATATTTGTGCTAATTGTTAAATTGGTCATATTTTTTAATGTGTAAAAAACTGCACAAAAGTATTTTTTCATATTTTTTATTTTTGTATTATTTTAACTGTTGGTTTGTTGCCAATTATTTTTTCTGTAAAATTGTCCATACTTCTCTCCTAACTGTAATTGTTTTTCATTGTGTAGTAAAATTGTGTTAATTTTCATGAAACATTATTTATTAAAAATATTTTAATGTAAAACTAACATTTAATATGTAACTAGCTCTCTGTAATGTTTTTGGAAGTCATCTTTTAACATGAAGATCATTTTAAGAAAAAGTTAAGCGTAAAAATTATTGAAAATTTCTGAATTTTCCTAATGTAACTTAGGTACTTTTTCAACAACTTCATATTCATTTTATTTGTAAGAGCATTTGCATTACTCAAGAATTTTTTTCCCATTATTTTCAAAATTTTTGAGTAAAAATCCCTCTACCCAAAGCAAGCAATTTGGGTTCTTTTAATTGTCATTCAGAGCATCATAATTAACCCCTTCGCGCCGACTGTCACATCTACGTGCCAGCAACGAACACACTCACCTCCTGGCTGACACGCAGGCGAGCTAGAGCATTTTCCCGTTCACTACCGACTGTTACGTATTTGTTGCCAGTGCCTGAACGTTTGAAAAAACTATAATTCTGCACAAGAATGGCACTGTATGTCCATATGGTTTCAGATCCTGTACATTAGACCTTCTACTCGAAATGAGAGAAGCATGACTCACCATACATGTGTTTTTGATTATATAAACAAACAGGGAAATAAAATGTTTCCGAATGGCGTGATTTATGACGTCTCTTTAAATCGCACTTTTCGCAGGGTAGTTGTATACTGTAAGTAGAGAAGTTTATTTGCGCTAAAGTGTTGGGTTATTTCGGGTTTGCAGTTCAGTTTTTGAAAATAATTAGATCTTGTTAGATTGAATTCTTTCTGTTTTACCGTTGCAATGTCGAAGCGTCGAAATGTTAACGAGCATGAAATACAGAAATAATGCAAATATTTCAGATATTGATTCCGAAATTCTGATATTTGATATTGATTCTGAAAGATTAACTGAAAGACATTTCCAAAACTTTGTTTCAGACGAGACATATAAGAAAATGAGACGACGATTTCATTTGGTTCACATTCCCGGAAAAAATCCTCCAAAACGCAAATTAGTTATTATGAGTGCAAGGAAGTAACTGGACTGGGTGTAACCCTGTTTTCAAATTTTTCGTCGAAAAGAGAATTTAAGTATATTTAGTTTTTCAATGTAAATGTTAAAAGTCATAAAAATGTGAGTAATGACAAAAAATGTGTAAAATTGCATTACAGAATAAGGTAATTAAAATATAGTATAAAAATATCTATAAAGCATAAGCCGTTTAAATACTCTATAGAGCATTATTAAACAATGCGTTGATACTTCGGAAATTTCATCCGGCGCGAAGGGGTTAAAGACAGTACACTATTTAGCTTTTACGTAGATGATATTTTAAGGAAAATTTTCAAAACAGAAAAATTATTGAATTTAAAACCTTGACTTTCATGAGCTGTAAAAATATTGATTATGTAATTATGGAAAAGTGGTCTAAAATAAATGTATACGTGTATGCAGGTATAATAAACATGATATAATATGTACACTGCACAAAAAAAAAAAAAAAAAAAAAAAAAAAAAAAATGACAGTTCTATCTTCCATTATACCGGGTCGATTGACAAAATTAAAATTGGTTTTCATGTCTCGAAGCGATTTAGGATATATTTATTTAATGGCATTATTTGAAATATTTTGGACACAAAATCGGACTTTTTGAAATGGCAGCTTTCAATGGCAATTCTTTTCCATATTAGATTCTACAGCTCAAATTATGCCTAAATATTAAATTTGTCAAATTTGTTGCGAAATTTACAAAGAAACTCAAAATTTATCTGGGAATCTTTTTTTCAGTTTGTGCCGAAAATAATTTACTTGGCAAACTTCCTAATTTATAGCAACCTATCCTCTTTCTTTTTTTCTTTTTTTTTTTTTTTCATTGTAGACAAGCGAAAAAAATTCATTGTTCATACTTTTAAATAATTTTAACCAAGTGTGTAGCCAAAGTTGGCGTTATTATCACTTATAACATATATGCCAAATTTCAAAATGTGCCAATTTGTTATAAATATACATTAAATTCAATTAACATTGAGGAGCTAAAATTTTGAGAGCTAATTTTTTAACATAAAAAACTACTAATGCGATCTTTACAAAACCTGGCAGTTTGGCATAATTAGAGTCGTAAAATTAAAAATGAAAAGATTGGATGTTATTCGCAACCGTCGATTTGTGTTAAAATACCTATATTAAACATGCTGTATTCCTCTAATACATATCCTAGTGTGCTTCAGAATGAAAAACCAAGTTGACTTTCATCAATGGCCCAGTGAGCGGGGATCGAACTTCCTTTTTAGTTCAAAGGGGCATTTCCCAGAAGCTGTTATTTCGTTTTGAGTTGATTCCTCAAAGCATGTTTCCATTCCAAATTTGCCAAGAATATCTCGCCTGATTATCTTAAGAATTAAAAATGACGCCTGTATCAATATGTGTTCTCACTTGTACGACAAAACGGGTACTAAGCCCTCAATTTTGATTCATAGCCGATGCCCATAGGCATCCGCCGCCAAATTTGAACCTTGGGAGTAGTTTTCCTCTCGATTCATTTTTTCAACTTTTAACGCTTGTGCTTACACACTCCGGATTCAAAGCGAGCTATGCAACGTTGTACTGCCACAACTTTTCTCTCAGCGTGCGGATGGGTATTGGAAATTTAATGATATTATTCTAATATTTGTGTATTGCTTTGAACTGAATTTTATGGTTTAAGTGCGAAGAATATGATATTTAATAAATAAAAGTAACACACTAAATATTTAAAAAATGCCCCTTTGGATGTAATTTGAAATCTAAAACCTTTCAGTTCTCCTCACACACACAGTGTACATTATAAATAGTTGATTTATGCAGTTTCTATGTGTTTTTAGGGAATGTTACCTTCTGCAGACTTTAGTGATGAAACTACAGATCACTTGAAGGCTCTCAATAATTATTTAAAGGAAATCTTATCCTTTTGTTTTAATGTTGGATTTCTGAATTTGGAACGAATTACATGGGACTCATCCTGCCATATGCTGGAAAAGGTAATCTTTTGACGTGTTCACAAAATGTTTTTTATTTCTTAGATAGAAAAATATCATTTAATTCAGATATATGTCAAGAGAAAATTAAAGAATAAGAAGAAAAGATACTGTATTCTGTATTTAAGAAAACATACTATATTCTGAAATTAATTTAAATGTGAAATATAATTTTTATAATGATATCAGGTCATATAAAATGTCTTCACGCTTTTTTGGCACATTTTTTAACAAAAATTTTCTTTATTGAAAGTCAATTTTAATCAAATACGTATTGACCATTATTATCTATGACGTTTTGCGATTTTTGGGGTAAGTTCATAATTTCTTCGGTGTAGAAATTCTGTGGTTTATCATAAAAAAACTTGGCCAAGTGATTTTCAGCAGCTCTTCAGTTGCCCAATTTTTTACCATCAAGAGAGTTTTGCAAAGACCGAAACAAATAGTAGTCAGACAGAGCAAAGTCCGGGCTATACAGAGGGTGTATCAAAATTTCCCAACCAAGATCCGTCAATATGTTCTGAGTCATCAAAGATGTGTGTGGCTGCGTATTGTCATAATGGAACACAACTCCCTTTCTGTTGGTTAATTCTGTGCACACTACAGGGCCGAATTGATGGTTCTGCTAGGTTGCAGTAGCTCATAATGGACAATTCTGTTCCAATCCCACCAAATACTCAAAATAACCTTCTTTTGCAACAATCCAGACTTTGAAGTCATTTGTGGAGGGTCACTAGCCTTTGACCATGATCACACTTGCATTTGATATTCTTGTATTTCATCCATTTTTCATCGCCTGTAATGATTCGCTTCAAAAATTGTTCGATTTCATTGCGTTTCAGCAGCATTTCACTGATAGTGATTCGGTCAGTCAAATTTCTTTGCATTAATTCATGTGGCACCCAAACATTGAGCTTCTTTTTGTAGCCTGCTCTTTTCAAATGATTCCAAACTGTCATGTGCTTGATGTTTAATGCCTTTGCTATTTCTTGACAGCTTGCCTGTTGGTCTTGCTCCACCAGTTACAAAATTTCATTGACCTTTTTCCAGTGAGTGGCCAACCAGAGCAAGGTGCATCTTTGACATCGAAATTTCCGGAACAGAATTGAAAAAAACCACGCTTGGGTCCTTCGTTTACTCACATGTGCACTTCAGAAATTTTTCGGTATATTTTTTCAGCGTTTTACCCTTTTTATAGTAAAAAAGCATCACATAGCATATTTCATCAGATATTTCACTCATATTCAAATTCATATAACTTTTTACACGAGCAACGAATTAAAAAAAATATCTTCACAAACAATGGAAGCTGAATATCACCTTTTAAGCTCATGTTCATTTTAGACAATCAGGTGAGTGTTGCCGGTTATATAGGCATCGACACCATCTAGTGGCAAAAAAGCACGGAGACTTTTTAAATGACCCAATATATTACCACAAAAACAGCTTATCGAAAATTTTTTTTTTTTTCATTAATCTAGATATTTGCAAAATTTTTGAACAGAGGAATTAAATATGATGAGTTATTTAATATACTTTAAATCTGGAATTTATACATTCTGATTATCAGTTATTGAAGATCTTATTACAAATTATTTAAATTGCAGTCATTTTGTTTAAGTCTTTATTTTAGCTACTTTACTTCCCCATCCTCATTCCTATCTAGATTATATATTGACACTTTACTAGTTCTTGCATCTTATTATGCATTAGAACACTTTTGAATGGTGTCATGTATCAATCTTTTTAAATTTCTTCCCTTAGATATCCCAATATGAAGCTGTTCATCCTGTAAGGAATTGGACAGATATAAAACAACGTGTTGGTCCTTACAGGAGGTGCTATGTTTTTACTCATAATGCAATGCCAAAAGAGCCAATAGTTGTGTTGCATACTGCTCTAACCAATGAAATATCATCTAGTATCACAGTAAGCTATAACTTTTGACTTGTCTATTGTACATTACCGTGCATCTTAGCTGTGATGTGGATAATTTCCAAATACAGTGGTACCTTGGTATATATTATTACGTGCTTACGGGTTCCAAATATATTGAATGCACACAGCTCCGATGATAGAGTAATAAATTTTATTTTATCAAAATAAACACTTCAGAGATCTGGAACTTCCCACAAAAATAGCCATACAGCTCTTTACAATATCACAGAGTGCAATCAATAGTTACACTTCAAGCTACTATGAGCATTAAACACAACAGAATGCAAAGTGCAATTAAAGAGTGAAGCTAAGTACTCTAAACTCACACAGAGCAAACAGCTAACAAGTGAGAGCATGTGTTATATAGTTTTCACCCAGCTGCTGAGATATTTTTAGTGCTTTCTGCTTCTTGAAATTACTTGAAGGCAATGTGAGGGTCAAATTATGGTTACAGCTAACACAGTGATCAATTATATTTATTCAGTTGCAATTCAGTACAACTCCAATTATCTGAATCACTGATTATCCGAACTGCTTTCAGGATTTCAGAATCAACTGAAGAAGAAAAGGAAAAAGAAATGCAAGAAAAGAAAAAGGAAGAAACAGGACAAGATGAGGATGATGTGTCACGTGAGGAATTAAGAAACATTCTTTTGAAAATTCCTGAATGTTGAGAAGTTAGTGCTGAGGATATAGGAGAATGGATGGTGTGTGATTCAGCAGATCCTGGGCTTCAAATTCTAAATGATGATGAACTTATTGAAAGCGAGAGAGAAAAAAGTGTTGAGGAAGAAGATGACCTTAATGTCGAAGCTGAAGCAGACATGAGACCGGCCTTGAAACTGCGTTGAAGTGGATGGAGCGTCAGCCCAAGTGTGACAGCATGCAACTTCTCATTGTCAAGCAGGTGTGCGACTTGACTGCCTGAAAACGAATGAAGGCAGTCAAACGGCATACTTTGAGCACTTGTACACATGCAACAATACTTTCACACTATATAACATGTATGTAAAAGTGTTGTCTTTCATTTTAAAAAATCCAATTATCCGAATGGAGTCTGGTCCTAATTGATTCGAATAATTGGAGTTTTATTGTACTTATTACAATGATACAAGAACCGGACCAGAATGTCACCAAATGGCCACCAAGTTTGGCGACTATGGATGATTTCTT